ATCTGTGAAGCATCTCATAACATGGATGAAACTGGAGGACATTATGCTGAGTGAAATAAGTCAATCACAAAAGGACAAATATTTGTATGAGACCTCTGTAGAAACTCATGAAAAAGTTTACACACAAAGATTAACAATCTTTGTTGGTTAACGAGGGATGGGAGTGGGGGGGAACTAAACAGACAATAGATAAGTGGTAACTTTGGTGAAAGGTAAGACAGTACACAATACTGGGGAAGCCAGCACAATTTGTACAAGGAAAAGTTATGGAAGCTCCATAGACACGTCTAACCCCCCTGAGGGACTGAAGTGCTGGGCGGAAGGCTGTGGGGACCATGGTCTCGGGGAACATATAGCTCAATTGGTATAACATAGTTTATAAAAGACAATGTTCTACATTCTACCCTGGCGAGTAGCGTCTGGGGTCTTAAAAGCCTGTGAGCAGCCATCTAAGACACTCCCCTGGTCTCACCCCTTCAGCAGCAAGGGAGAATGAAGTAAACAAGATACAAGGAAAAGATCACTTCAAAGGACTAATGGACCACAACTACCACGGCCTCCACCAGACTGAGTCCAGTACAACTAGATGGTGCCCGACTACCACCGACTGCTCTGACCAGGATCACAACAGAGGGTCACGGACAGAGCTGGAGAAAAATGTAGAACAAAATTCTAACTCACAAAAAAAGACCAGACTCACTGACCTGACAGAGCCTGGAGAAACCCCAAGAGTGTGGCCCCCGGATACCCTTTTAGCTCAGTAATGAAGTCACTCCCGAGGTTCACCCTTCAGCCAAAGATTAGACAGCCCCATAAAACAAAATGAGACTAATGGGGCACAAAAGTCCAGGGATAATGACTAGAAGGCAGGAGGGGACAGGAAAGCTGATAATAGGGAACCCAAGGTTGAGAAGGGACAGTGTTGACATGTCATGGGGCTGTTAACCATTGTCATAAAACAATGTGTACTGTCTAATGAGAAACTATTTGTTCTGTAAACCTCTTAAAGTACAAGAAACAAATAATAAAAGTCCTCACAAGGCATCTAACCTGACCACTACCGTATACATGAACCCCTCTGCCACACCCCCATCTAAGTGGTCACACAGGCTCTGCACAAACCCCAATCCTTTTTTTAAAAATTCTTTTTAAATTCACTGTTCTAGAAGCATTCTGTTAAATGGCTTATTATCTTTCAAAGCCAAGATGCTTTAAATACAATGTGCAGCCTTAAAAACAGTTATGGATCGAATTGTATCCCCCAAAAATACGTATTGTAAATCCTAACCTCTATGTCTGTGTTAGGGTCGCTAAATGAGTCAAATCGAATCCCAGCACCTAACAACATGCCTGTGGCTATAAGCCTATTTGAGAACGGGCTGTCTCTGTCATGTTGATGAGGCAGGGTTAGTGTAGGGTGTGTCCTGAGCCAGTCTCTTAAAAGAGAGAAAAGATTAAGCAAGCAGAGATGGGGGAGGACAGACGCTACACAACATGGAGATCTCCGAGGAAACAGAAGCTGAAGACACAAGGACCTTCCCCCAGAGCTGACAGAGAGAGAAAGCCTTCCCCTAGAGCCAGCACCCTGATTTCGGACTTTTAGCCTCCTAAACTGTGAGAAAATAAATTTGTTTGTATAAAGCCACCCACTTGTGGTATTTCTGTCATAGCAGCACTAGATAACTAAGACAAAAGCCTAAATCCTAACTATACTATCTAGTCAAAGAACTGTGGGGGCTTAAAAACAACATTAACAGTTGATGTGATTACTCTGTGCCAAGACTTCGTCAGGTGCTTTACACACAATTTCTCCTTTAATCCTCTTAACAATGGGTATTCGCTAGCTCTAGAATTTTAAGGTTCAAAAAGAAAACTAAGATTTACCAAACTCATACCCGTCGTGATGTTATAAACCCCCATTCACCATGTTCTCCCGGCTTATCTTCCAGGCTCAGAAGCACCAACTCTCCCATCTGTCCTATACAGCATGACATCCATACCTTCAACACTTGCACATTCTTCACAGAATGTTTACGAAGCATGAGTTCTGTACAGGGGGCTATGTGGTTCTTTAGAAAGAGCTTTCTTCCTTAAGGAGCTTATGGTCTAGTAGAATAGTCTTCTGGAAATACTCTACATGTGCCATAGGTACAAGGATGTTCAGTGATTATAAACTCTCTAGCCCAGTCACAAGTAGGAAGCACTGGGTTAAAAGGCATGAGGTAGCTCTAGATGTGGAAACACAGTACAGCAACAATCTATTTTGCATGCGTACGGACAAAACAGTCCTCAAACTCCCTGTGCACACGTGAGTACATGCAAAGCCAGGGTCTGGGAGGACACACATCCCCCCAGGTATGTGACTATCTACTGGAGAGGCGAGCTGGACTGGGGGAAAGAATGGTGTGAAGAGATGGGTATGAGTTATCTTAAGAATGTATAAAATCTACTTTTCTCTTAACATCTTTAAAGGTGTCTTTTGAACTTTTCAGTGGTAAACACAGAAAACCAGGGCTGTCAACCTGACAAATCTGGCTGAGGGATTAACAAGCACAGTTGTTTTTAAGCAGTTTTCCAAACTGAGAAGCCTAAAGTTCACAGTCTCAATTGTCAACTTCTTATTAAGAAGGAAAGAGATGGAAAGTGGGATAGAATGAAGTCCTGTTACTGTGATGACAACTGTTCTCGTACAACAACCACTACAGGAAAAATAAACAATTTCCAGGTCATCATTTCTTCCCCATTCAAAACCAAAGTAGCTTTACCGAGTCTCATGAGACATTAAAATATGTATATGTGTATAACCTAGATTACTTCTTTACTTTATAACAGAAAACTATTAATGAAAAAATTGGCATTGCTTTTTAGCTACTACAACTGCTGTGGTTCGCTTTTGTGTGGCCTTTCTTACCACAGTCTTGTAACTCCCTCCCAAGTAGATTGGGCGGGACTGTGCAAATAAGGTAATTATGCCCACCAAAGGGATTGGTCAGTTTTGCCATTCCACTAGGCTTAAAATGAGCCATCCCAGAGGCAGAAAGAAGATCTCACCACCACCAAGAAAGAAAAGCCAAGAGCGGAGCCCGTCTTTTGGACCCAGGGTCCCTGCCCTGAGAAGCTCCTGGAACCAGGAGCCGGGGGGGCGGCTGTAACAATGAAGAGGGCAAGAAACGGTAAGAGAGACTGGCAGGAGATGGTGGTGGGCTGGGGAGCAAGAAAACAGTGTCTCTGGACAAAAGGCTTGCTGATGGAGTAGGGTGCCTCTGGGTACTCGATGGAACTAGGTTTGCCGACCTACGTAGCTAGAGCTGAGAGCCTTTGGGTCCAGGCTTACTGGCAGAGTGGAGTGCCTTTGGGCACTTATTGGCAGAGCTAAAAGAACTTTGTAACACTTGCCCGAGTAGGGCAGAGGCCGGGCCGAGGGGCCAGAGAAAGGGATGCCTGTGGGCACGGCTGGGAAGAGACTGTCCCAATGGAAGAACTGTATCCTGAGTGTTCCTGAACCTGAATTGTAATTCCTGTTACTGTAATTCCTGTTACTTCCCTAATAAACCCCACAATCCTGAGTACTGTCTTTGAGTTCTGTGTGGCCACTGCAATGAATTATTGAACCCAGCAGAGAAGTAGAGACTGCCATGGGAGGGACAGTTGGCATCAGAATTGGTAAAGATGGCAGACAGAGGAGGAGGCATGTCTGACCTCCACCTCACAGGAATTAGCCTTGGGCTGCTGATTTTGATTCTCCTTCCTCCTTGTGAAGTTAGAGGTCAGACTGGCCATTTCACAACTGCATTTCTCAGACTGCTGAAAGTGTTAGGTGTTCAAATAAGTTTGGGAAACATGACAGAACCAAACCAGAGAGTCACAACAGTTATTAGCACATCAAAGGTCCTGCAAAGTTCGGTAACAATGAAATAAATTTTAACTTTGTTTAGCCTTCAGCACAGAACACCTTTTTTGGCAGCATATTCGGAATACCAGTTGTGAAACACTAAGCTATCAATTTTCTGGGCCTGTTTAGCTTTCTAAGCTTTCCTTTCTAAACTGCAAGCTGTTTTGCAAATCTAGGTTGGTATCACAAGGCCAAAGGGCTCATTCATCACAGTGCTGGGCTGAGAAGCCTCTCTTAGCACCTTTATACATCATGTAAAACTTTATTTTACCCTTGCTGACTTGAGTAAGAAACACTTTAGAAGAATTATGACCAACGAATGGATTTACCTCCTGCTTCTAACTGAACTCCTGGAGTCAAGTGAAGAAATTCTGGTTCCATGCTTACTCGGCTGCCAGAGATAAAACCCACCACAAATTCAGAATGCTCCTTGGCCATTCTAACCTAAATGGAATGTAACAGGACAGATTACAAGACAGTGGTTAATCACACAGAGTAATAAATAATTCTACAAGCAAATAATCTACTCTATTAACTAGCCAGAAACTTGGCTGTTTTATAGATGCCTTTTCTCATTTCACATTATGCGTGAACTCACTGTACCTGAAATAGGTCAGCTTAGAAACAAACCTACAGCCTCGCTTCATTAACACCCTGAGATGATCTTTTCCTATCCCACCTCCCAATTAACCATGCCCTAAAAACATTCAAAATCCTCTATTACGTGCAACTAAAATCGAGATGCTGCAATTACTTATTTGTAATAATGCCTGGCGACTCATCTATTTCCAACAAGGATCTGAGGTGAGTACTCTCGGGATGCTTTGAGTTGGAATCAATTCAACGGCAATGGATTTTTTTTTTTTTTCTGGTTTACTCTAGGATACATTATAATGGTATGAAACCACATTCAAGACTTCCAGCCTTACTTACACAGGGTACTGCGTATCCAAGGGCAGCCACCAGATGAAACCAGCTGTGTTCAAGAGCTAAAGAAATCCTTCGCCTCTACCACTTTCCCTCTTCTTTAACACTCTGTCTCCTCAATTTCTATACCATCGTCTCATATTTAGAAAAGTTTCTCTAGAAAGCCTGCCTGGCTTTCTGATCTGGCTCTGTCCTGGGACTCATATTGTTCCATTCTTGCCACTAAGTACTACCACCTATAAACAAATGCAGTCTTGTCCTTAAGCCAGGTAAGCAGATGTTTTCTTTGACTAAACATGTGTGTCTCCGGGTTTCTCTCTTGGAGAGCGATTCAAATCCTTTAAGTGTGCACTACAAGATATAAAACGCTATTAGCTATCAGGGAACTCTAGCCTCCTGTATTAACATACTGTCACACAGACAATGGATTTTTTTTTGGCGGAGGTTCCAAAGACCCTAGATGAAGACGCTTCCCTCCCCTGTAACATGCAGCCTAGCAGCCCTGGCCTTCTCTCACCCAGTCGGCCACTCACCGCTGCTTTAGTGTAGCTCCCAGTGGCTAAGGAGCCAGCGGAGCTCATTTCTGCAATTAGCAGGCAACCCCGATGCAAAGGCAGGCCCACCTCTCTCAGGCCTTTCACAACTCCTGGGCCTGGCACCACGTGAGCATTTACTAGATCTGCCCAGGAAGCTATTTTAAAGACACCACCTAAGAAGAAGGAGAAGAAAAGATATTTGCTAATTTTCAACAAAAACATTTGATATCTTGCACAACCAACCACCTGCAATATGAAATAATCTACTAGGAATATGTTAATGAAGTAGTCCAACACTTGAAGAACTTTAGTGATCAGCAGACCTATGCTTCTGTGAAAAATTCATCTGTCCACCAGGTAGCTGGTTGTGAGATCACAATCAGAAAAAACTTGCAAAACTTCTGCATTTATCAGCAATACTGATAAGACTGTTTTTTCTTGCAGGCTGAAGCTTGTGACCTCCAATAAAGCTCATGCAATTAGAAATGGACTCCAGTGAAGATGGTATTTTTCAGAGATCAAAGACATCAACACTCTGATATTCCTCTGAAGAGGACAAATTGCAGTAACCTTAACCAAAAACTATATCCAAACCTGCAGAAAAGTATGTATGACTTTTATGTCAGTCAATACACTAAGTAACGTGTTGGTCGGACATCTTAAGCTGTGAAGAATGTCAAATACAGACAAATCTATCCTAAAGAAATAGCTTAAAAATATGCACATGTTCCTTAAAAAAAAAAAAAAGTTATTTCAAAGATGCTGATGATAAATGTTAAACAACATAATAGGATGTTTACTGTAAGGTTAAGTGAAAAAAGCATTTGTCTGTGTCTGCGTGTATATAAAATCACATCTGTGCAAAAGCATAGACGTTTCTACAGAAGAATGGGTAACAGAACTAAGCATTTTTTCCCAAACAACACATGGTCTACCTTGAGTCCTTATCTGACACGAGAAAAAAGTAAATTTTCTTTTGGGGACAAAGAAAAAAAAATGTCTATCAAAAGATCTTTTCCTCTTGAATATGAATCTTATCATTTTATACTGATTTTTCCTTGTTTCTGTATCTTAAAATATTCAGAACTCACAAGTGTTCTGCCAGGGCCAACAATGTTGTTCTGGCCTGCCCAGAATCCATGACCTCCTTTTCTGGTACCAAAGCAAAAACCATAGGGAAACGACCTCTCTCCAATCTCAGTTCCAGAAGTTTTAATACAGTTAATAACCTCCCATTTCCAGGGGTGGGGCATACAACCCATGCCAGCTAATGAAGGTGAATGGTTTGGGGGCAGCACATGGAGTGCACCTACCTGAGAAAAATCAACAGAGAAGAAAGCAGAGCTGAGAGATGGAGAAAAAGCAAGTCCAGAAGACATCACTCGAGCTCCTGGATCCAACCATGCTTGAAAGCCTGTTCTATAGTTGGACTTTCAGTTATGTGAGCCAAGGCATTTCCTTTTTCCTTCAGCCAGTTTAAACTGGGTTTCTGATTCTCATAGATTCCTGAATACTACACTTACCTTCATACTGCCTTTTTACTGTATTTCCAATATCTGCAAATTTCCGGTCTTCAAATATTAAGAACTCATGACGTTTTGCCAGAGTTGTCAACTCCTTCATTACATCCAGAGTAAAATCATTCAAAGTATCTACATGAGTCTTGAGCATGCAGATGCTGGGTCCTAAAGCATCTGCTAGCTGCAACAGCTCGCTGGCCTCTGAAACATCAGCAGACAGACAGAGATTGGTCTCCTTCTTTTGCATAAGCCTGAGAAGCTTCGATGCAACTGTGTGGATCCTGGGCAGCTCTGCCCGGGCACCAAAGCTGAGTTCTCCGGGTGCTTTCGTTACAGAAGAGAGAGAACTATTAGGATTAGCAGCCACAAAAACATTCTCCTGAATAAATTTCTTCACTCTCCTGACCATCTCAGCATCAATTTTTTTCTGCTGCTCAAGAATCTCCAGCATTTTGGACAATGTACACACTGAGTGGAGATGAATCCCGTGTGCCTCCAACATTTCCTTGCCTCCCTGCTCTCTGTCCAGCAGCACTATGGCATCCGTGACCTTCAAGCCCTCCTTCTGAAGAACCTCAACAGTTTCCAAAACACTAGATCCACTGGTAATGACATCTTCAATAATCAAACAGGTTTCACCTGGATTAACGGCGCCTTCTACAAGACGCTTCGTACCTAGAAAAGAAAAAAAATTCTGTTGGTTCCAATTTTTTTTTTTTAAACAAAGTATTTTTAGTATTTAAATATAAATTTATATGTTCTATGCAAATACATTATATTAGTATGTAAATATGCAATATAAAATATATATTGATATGCCAACTCAAGATTTATCTCACATTATAAATGTGGCATGTACTTATGAAGAGATGGATGATCTAAATCTTATTTTCTGATCATCTATTTTGGAGCTACTTTATCTACCGTCTTCATTGTGCCACGATCACTGTTTTGTTTAGTGTCTCTGTATCCCAAAATTATCAGTTACATATACAGAATATTTACAGTAAAACTAGCAAATTGTTTTGCAATGCAGATAAACAGGCTTAACTGTGTTTTATCATCAAATTTTCAAATACAGGTTTTTTTTCTTTTAAAGCAAGATCACCTAGAGCAAGGAAAGTTATGAAACATCAGAATAACTCACTAGCATCAAAGAAATCATTCCTTCTTCCATTAACAAGATCAGCCAAACAACTGGCTTTTCAAGGATCAAAATTCAGGAGGAAAAATATTTAGCAACCATTTAGTCCCACCACTACAATCTGACAAACTGTATAATGTAATGTGACTAAATATACTCCCCCACCTCAACCTGCATTACAGACCAAAACTTTTTCAGATACACTACAGAGTGTAAATACTCAGGCTGTGGATGTCATGCTCATTTTTTTTTTTATAGACTCATTTTTGAAAAATGTATTTTCCACTACCAAATTTGTTTTATTTTGCAACAGATAGAGGATTGGTGGGCACTCTGTCTTCTTTTGGAGCTTTAGCACAGATACCATCCTTTTCCTGTTCTCTTTCCCATTCCTTTTCTCTTAATCCTTTTCTTCCTCTAGAATTGGCAAGTTTAACCAAATCAGCTTGAATGAGAACACAAGACTGTGAGTATGTACAGGTATATTTAAAAACTGAATGATTTCACTCTAGAAACATCTTTTAAGACATACAAAAAGGAAATATAAATAATAGCTTCCTTATGGGCAGGAATTCATGTAGATAATGAATTTTGTTAGCTCAAAAAAATCTAACACTGTCTTCAAGCAACAACCACTCAACTGTTTTTATTAATAATGGACAATTTCAAACAAACAAAAGTAGACAAAATAGTATAACAAACATCCATAAATACAGCACCTCACCTCTTAACAACGCATACCTGCTGCTGTTGGGTCAATCCCGACTCATCTTGACCCTTATTTTGTCTACACCCCCTACTCCCTCTCTGCCCTTTTAATTTTTAGAAGCAAATCCCAAACATCTTTTGATTTTATCATAAAAAATTTGAGAAAGCACCTGTAAAAGATGACTGTTTTAAAAAAAAAAGTAACATTATCACACTAACAAAACAAAAACCCTATTAATTCCTTAGTATCATCCAGTATGCGGTTAGTTCCAATATTTTTAGATTGATTTGGTTTTACAAAAGCCTACATGCATAAAACACCCACCTGATAACCTACTGCCCATGGATCCATAAAAAAATATTTAGAATTCCTTATGGTGCTTATATTGCCTTATGAGAGTAATTTTATTCACATCACTCTCCAAGCAGTTTAAGTACTCCTAGAACAAATTCTGCTGATGAGGGAAGGGCTAGAAAAACATTGGGGTTTCACAGATATGGTGAAAAAACACATATATACCCTGTAAGTCCTCTCAAAAGGAGCCCTGGTGGCAGAGTGGTTAAGTACCCAGCTGCTAACCAAAAGGCCAGCAGTTGAACCCACCAGCAGCTCCACGGGAGAAAGATGTGGCTTCTGCTTCTGTAAAGATTTACAGCCTTGGAAACCCTTTGGGGCAGTTCTAGGCAGCTCTATAGGGTCATTAAGAGTTGGAATCTACTGGACAGCAATGGGTTAAGTCCTCCCAAAGCACCTCTTTTTATTACCTAAAGAATATAAAGCATTTTGCCTGGAGACTCTAAAAGGAAGAAAGAATTTTAACAAATCCCACAGGAGATAACAACCTAATGAGTTCATGAAGAACAGTCAAGATAACGCTTGTAAAACATCACTGCCAAGAAGAAGAAAAAAGTCTGACAGTATCAACTTAACGCTTATGCTATTTTTACTTTACCATAATCCTTGCTTTCTTTCCTTCTAATAAGCATTGGAATTTGGTTGGTGGAACAGATAACTGTAGCCATGGGCAAAGCTGTGTAAGGCACTCCACACACGGTGTCAAAACTGATCTCGGCATTTTGGGCAGTTTGGAATAAAATTTCTGCAACCTGAAAAAAAAAAAGAACATATATCTATTATTACAACTGTTTTAAATAGTGTTTAAATCATTAGGAGAAACAATAGAACGTTAGAGATAGTAATATTCCAGTGGGGGGTAGTCCCATACCTGATAGGAAAACTACAAATGTCTTTTTAAAGTAACTCTTCCTTAAATCACCGTTTACAAATGTAAATATACAAATGTGAGAATGTTCGACTCAAGGTTTGCTTTGAGGGCGACATGAGATGTACTGGAGAAGATCATGATGACAGAGAGTAAGGACTCCCCAGCTTCCCACAGTAATGGTAATCGATTATATATTATACTTTGAGTAGCTAAACCTTTCTATAAATCTGCCAGTTATGTTTTCTGCATGAAAGATGCCTTCAATTAAGTTTCATAAGAATAGAGCCTATTGTGTGAAGTATTATTTTATAGTCTCCTTTTCCACATAAACTTACAAAAACCCACTGCCATCGAGTCGATTCCAACTCCTAGCGACCCCATAAGACAGAGCAGAACTGCCCCACAGGGTTTCCACGGAGCAGCTGGTGGATTCCAACTGCCGACCTTTTTGTTAGCAGTTGAGTTGTTAACCACCGCGCCACTGGGGCTCCTTTGTGAACTAGACCAGGGGTCTTCAAAATTTGTTCCTGTACTATTCTGACTCACCGTGACCTTACTTACAACAGAACAAAACGATGCTCAGTGCTGCATCTTCCTGAGATCGCCAGCATTTTTGAGTCTATGACTGCAACTATTTTGTCAATCCATCTCACCAAAGGTCCCCTACGCTCTCACTGGCCCTCTACTTTACCAAACATGATCTATACCCCTCCAGCATTTGTTCCCATCTGATGACGTGTCCAAGGCAAGCAAATCAGACAATGTTCTGTTGTGATCCATAAGGTTTTCAATGGCTAATTTTCAGAAGCAGATGGCCAGGAAATTCTTCCTCATCTGTCTTGGTCTGGAAGCTCCACAAAACCTGCCCACCATTAGTGACCCTGCTGGTATTTAAAATACACATGGCATAGCTTCCAGCATCACGGCAACCCGCAAACCACCACGATACAACACAATGTGGTGGCAGGCAACTGTTACATCAAATGCTATAGTGATGCAATACCCACCATTTCCACGAAAACAAAACTATGAAAGTGCTGGACTATGAAAGTTAGAAACTGAGTTTCCCTACTCTTGCAAAACACATGTCCAAGCCCATCCGGTAAAAACACAGGCTACTCTCTAGGTCCACAAGAACGAAATACGCCCCTGGTCTCTGTGCTCCTGAAACATACTCACCAGACCGACAGTCGGGTCTGCCACCCTGCTTGGCTCTTTCGCTCTCATTTACAGTCCAATTCCTGTGACTCCCCCCCTCCCCCATCTCTTGGTCCCCTTTCCCCGGCTGGCACCTGACTCAGAAGCCGTGGTCGAGAAACGATGCCCCGCAGATCGATGTAGACGGGGGAGGAGAGCCCACTTTTCAGCACGAAGTTCCCAAACTTGAAAGCCTGCACGTCGTACAGTCCCGTGACCAATGGCCCCAACAAGGCACCGGTGGCCGCCATTGTCGCGCGCTCACTGTTGGTTCCGAACTCCAACGCGCGCCTAGCCGCCGACGCACCGGTGACGTCCCCCAGGAAGCTCCGCCTCTTCCGCCCTGTTTTCCGGCGGCTTCGCGGACTGGCATCGCTGGGAGCCGCGTCCCCAGGTGGGGAGAGTTGGGTGACTGTAGCTAACCGTGCTCCAGGGTTTGTACTTCTGTTCATTTTCACTGGGTAGGATCCATGGAGTTTAAGGCTCCGAATAGTTAGATTGATTATAGGATCATGAAGTTTAGCCACTCCAGAGTTTGTAAAACTCCTGACCATATTAATATAGCTTAACTTCCAGTTGAGTAGTGATTTAGAAAATAATATTGGAGTTATTATTCCCTGTCCTTGAGCATACAGAATGTGACTCAGCTGGAGCTGGGCTCACAAGGACTCACGAGGACACATCAACTGGGCCCTGCGGTATAAAGACAATAGCTATAATAATCTTGGAAAACATCTTTTAGGGAAACTCTCACCTAAAGCCCATCAAACAGAACACAAAAGACTTTCCACTCTTATCTTTCTCTATTAGCATTTAGTGAACAGAAATTTGTTGGACCAATGAAGGCCCTCCTGACTCTCGTTACTGAAACCTGTACCAATGACTTAAGAAAGACAATTCAAAATGTAGGATCACAGTTTCTAGCCAATCTGTGTAAAGACTAAGCTTTCAGTGGTTTTGTCCATTTGTAATGTTAATATATACTGATGGCTCTGTAACTGTTCCTGGGACTCTGGCAGACATGGCCGTGGCAGCATGCTTGTCCGTTTTCCCACTCTTACCTATTCTGTAATATTCTTTGGACTCGGGCAGACATGGCTCTAGCAGCATGCTTGTCTGTTTTCGTACTTTTGTCTGTTCTGTGATATTTCCTTGGATTCGGGCAGACATTCTAGCTCTGGCAGCATGTTCTTCCGCTTCACACTTTTGTCCTTTTGAATATATGCCAAATAAAACTTTCTTTTTACTTTACTAAACTTTGTGATGTTTTTCCCCTACAACAGTAGTTCTCTTAATGACTTCTATTCCTTGGCCTTCTTGGTTGCCATCCAATCCATTCCTACTCATAGCGACCCCATGTGTGCAGAGTTGAACTGCTCCAACAGGGTTTTCCAGGCTGTGATCTTTTGGAAGTAGATGGCCAGGCCTGCTCCTCAGGTACCTCTGGGTGGGTTCCAACTCCTATTCCTTGGCCTAGCATATAGTTATTGGCCACCACTTTTCCAGATAGAATATAAGTTACTGAAGACAGGGACCTTTGCTCAATTCTTTTAATACCTTCATAGCATCTGGCACATGACAATTTAATAGCAGTTTGCACATAGAACTATTACAGTGCTTATCAGGTAATTGTGCATTACTCCTTCCACTGGCACTACGCGTGGAGTCCCTAGAGGAGGACCTGTGTTTATTTCCGGTAGAGTATCTCAAGTGTTTGGTACATGATAGGTGTACAGTAGATGAGAAGGAAGAGAGGGGAGTCGAGGAGGATGAATTTATTGATATCAGGATAATCAGGAGGGTAATCTTTCTAACCAATCTGAAAATCCAGGCATATTTGGTCTTTACAAATAAATCTCTTAAATTTGGAGAAATTTTCCATTACATATAGAAGATAATACTTTAATCTACAGGATTCTAATTCACCACACGGACTCTGATTTCATTTCTACACTGGTTTTCTTTCTTTGAGGAGATTGTGCTGACCAGCCACTGTGAAGAGCTCCTGCTTTTGACAGTTGTTTCTCATTACAACTATATGCAGTAAAATCTGGATGAAATAGAAGCCAAACGTTAAAACATTTTTGTCCGTGATGACGAAGTGAGTTCATCAGAACACTTCTATCTCTAACACTTTGGCCAATGGACAATGTACTATGAATCAGTTTCATTTGCCTTTGGGTGGCACAAGCTGACTCAAGCCTGATCAGGTCTGCATAGGCTAACTCAGACTCCTGGAGTCCACACTACGGTGCATCAACTTTCTAGATCTAGCCCAAATGACCTGCCAACTTTCTAACAACAGTACCACATTGAGGCAGGCAGCCTCAGAGCCCAATCCTTCTAAGAGACACCTGCTCTGGCTTATCTTCCTACACCGAGCAGGATAAGCTGCACTTTATTTTGAGATTGTCCTTGATAAGATAACCACAGAACGGGCCATAGATGGCCTCAATCCGCCTGAGTGGAGACTTAACATACTAATGAAAGAAAATCCACCCCTTGCTCCATCCTGGTGAATCAAACCCTTGTCTAGAGAAAATGCATGGTCATCCCCAAGCCCTGAGCACCTGCATGAAGGTTGATCCTGAATTTTCATGATGAATTTGCATTTCCTTGTCTGCCCTCTGTAAAAGCCCACCTCCCCTAAGCTGCCTGTGAGCAGTCTTGGAGGCAACAGCCCCAAATGCATCTTTCCTTGTACAATGAAATAAAGGCGTCTTTCTGATCTCCCACCTCGGCCTCTTGTTTATTGACTGTAACAAGTCACGCCGAGCAAAACCTGGGATTTTCATCCAGTGACAACATGAACACCAGAATGAAGTCAACAACCCACTTGAGACTTCCTCAGTATTTCTGGATAGAAATAGAATACTTCTCCAGGGTATAAAATTGTTGCTTGCTTTCTAAAACGCTGGGTAAAAAGTTGTATAATAATGTGATATTTTCAGCTCCCATATATTTGGAGGAGGAGAGAAAAAGATTATCTTTTCTTCAAAGGTTTTAATTAGGAAACAACAAGCAAATAATGACCAGAAATAGTATCTTTAGTGTAGTATATTTATAGGAATGCATAACATGTGAGATGTACATTTTGAAGAGTCATCCATAACTTACAACATTTACTGTAGTCATAACAAGACAGCAGGTCATCACTTTACAACATTACACATGTGATTTTGACTTACAAATAAAATATTTACAGCCTACGTTTACAAAATGACATTGTGTGCATACAAAATGAACAACCGCAGAAAAATTAAAAAATCATAAAACAACCAAAAAACCCAGAAGATACACTTAAGGCAGACCAGCAAGACACTGAAATAATTAAGGCTGTGGAATTCTTCTGCACCTTGAAAATATAGAGCTATTTATCAATACTGTGGCGTGGTTTTAAATTGATTGTTACAAGCCTGATGGATGCATGTATTCATATGTATATGTGTAATGGTCCCTACGGGGAAACCTGTCCATTTATGGATAAGGCCGTTTATCTGTATGGCCAGAGAAGCCCACCCGAACTCTCAGAAGACTTTGCGGGTCACTCAAAACCAGCAAATGCCAATGCAGTTTGCAAACCAAACTATTAATAATTCAAATATGAAGATACTTCTGACTCCACGTAAATAGAATAAACTAACCGGTAGAACTGAGAGCTGCATTATAATGTTTCCGGCTTTGTTAGTTTGGTTTTGTGGACTTCAAAAGACAGCAAATTAGTTCCTAAAAGAGTAGAATTTATCACAACACAAATCAACCCCAATGGTTTCGTATGCCCTAAATGGTTTTCCAGTTGAAAACTTGACCCATCTCGGCTGTCTGCAAATGGATATGAGCAATAACATATACATACATATTATACACTATATACATGTACAGATGTACACATATCCATCTTTTCCAACAGTTTGCACTTTGATCACTCCCGTTCTCTGAATAGGATCTCATTCTGAAGAATATGTTTAGTTTATTCACAGTCTTCACATTTGTCCTACTGCTTTTACTCACCTTCCCCATAGAGTAGGCTGAAGTTTGGCAGAAACAGAAGTAAAAGCACCAGCGTCAAAAAATCAAACAGATGACAGATATGGCTTCAGTTACTAAGAGAAGATGTTTGTTTTGTCAACTTCAAATTCATAACCACAGTCTCTGAGGTCACAGTAACAGTCCCCATAATGGATTCATTTCTTAATAGAAGTCAGGCATCGATGGAATTCCTATGTTAGCTATTCCTGGGCTAACAAATTAGCTTGGTTATATGAAGCCTCAGGAGTTGGGATTCCAAGAGTTGTTATTTGCACTTTTTCCACCACCCTTCCTTTTCTTGGCTATCCTTACTATCCCAAATAACAGGTGTTCAACTAAACCAAAAGGATAAACTTGATCATCGGAATACAAACTAAGTCTGACCACATTTTAGAATCTCCCAGCAAATGGGCTGACAGGAAAATACAATAGCCTGTGAGCATGGATTTCAGGTTTTCTGTAAATGTCCCTTGAAGATGAAAAGTTATCTTATAGAATGACTGCTTTATCCTCTCCTCTAACTTCTATATATATTGAAAATGAGGAAGAAATTCCTTTCATAGGAAATATGGTCTTATGATATTTCTGTGTTCTACTATTTCTGTAAATTTCTCACGAGTAACATTACCTATTAAAAATGTCTAGTGCTATGCACAGATTTCTGCCCCTTTTAACCCTCTAGAGTTAATGTAAGAACTGAGACTCTTATAGTTTTTAGAAAATAACATAGTAGCTTCCCTATTGTTTTGGAGAAGCACGTGTGAACTCTATCTTATCACTCCCCCCCCCCGCCCCGTTTAATCATTCATTTCCAAATGATCCCTAGATTTTAAATAATTAAGAAAATTTATAATGCAGCTTTACAAATAAATCCACTGAAAGCTTACATACTGTGTTTTCCTAACCCAGACTCCATAGAGATGCTACCCACGAGAGAAAGGAATGAGGTCCACATTCCTCATCACTGGTCCAGGATAATTCATCGGCCCCCATGAATAAGAAAGTGGTGAGTTTGCACTTTTGCCCTACTACAAAGACTACTTATGTTCGA